AAGTAACACCTTTGCTGTGAAGTATGGAGACCTTGGTTTTATTGAGAGAATAAGAAGAGGTAGTGCTTGAGCATGGGGGAAGGATGGAATTGAGGAGGTTATTTCAAATGGAGTAACCAAAGCAAGAGGAAGGTGTGCTTTGTTGAATGTGGGATCCTCTGCATTCTATTTCTCACCCCAGCCTTCTAGATCAAGCCTAGCATGCCCTGTTTCTCGAGCACATTGAGGTTTTAAGTGTTCCCAGGTTACCTTGATAATAGAGAAGAGATGAATGGCAGGAATTCTGGCAAGCACATGCTTAGGATTGGAGGTACTGGAGAATGACCTATGTGGCTGTTCATAAGAATATAAGAATTGCCATTTACTGGGTCAGTCCATAGGTCCATTTTGCCCAGTATCCCATACCAGACTGCCAGAGAGTGGATGCTGAAAGGGAGAGTAAACTGTGTAAGACCAGAATTCCCTCCCCCGCACTGTTTCTCTCTCACTTGCAGCTTCCAGCATTTAAGGTCTAGGAAGTTTCATAGGGAGGCAAGAAGGAGAACTGGAGCTAGGAGGATATAGAGAAGATTATTACATATCTGTCACATTACGACGTAGTACATATCTGGTAACAATTCCTGTAAATACTTGACAACTCTGATACTAGAAAACATGTAAAACTTTTCCCAGTAAGTATGTGTGCACTTTCTAATGTAAAGTGTTCAGGTAAGCAGCCTAGCAATACAAATAGCTAAAACCAAAGGAATCACAAGTAAATACTACAAGTGTGAAGCCTCGATTTATCTTTTGGGCCAGTTGTGCCCCCAAATTTCACAGACCTCCCTCACTCGGTACACTACACAAACCTGGAGATGGCCTCCTCCAGAGCTAAATGCTGACTGCTAATCCCCTGCAATGACGCATGTGCATGGTCACAAAATCAAGTCAAACTACAGCATTCTTGTGCATTTCCTTCACTTGCATGATCAATTTCTAGCTACAGCATTTTCTATACTTGCACGATTGGCTTTTTTAGAATGAAAGTAAGTGGCATAGTTCAGTGATATCAATAACATATGGTGCCTTTCTAAGGATTTAGTACAAATCCATCCATTTATCTGTATGAGTAGCAGCAACTGCCACAGTTCTGTAGAGTCCTAAATACGTTGTGTAACTTGCATATTTCAAGTGAAGCATATGGAGAAATTTCTGCAGGACCCAGACCAAAATTGTTATCATTTAACTGGGGAAAAAGCTTTAAAATAAGTGGTGTGGGAACAGTCCTTGTTGGGCATGTGCTACATTACAACTTGCACCTGTATTAGAAATTTCAGAAGAAAGTGAGACTGAATCTCCCTATCACTGCTTGAAGAGTGTGAGCAAAACTAATGATTAGTAGTAAAATTATATTATTGCTGACACTGCCTTTATTCTAGTTTATATATAGTGTATTGAGGCACTTGAATAGTCAGTGTTAGAATCTATATGGTACTCATATTGTGCTAATACTTGGAGGCTCCAGCTAGGATTTGAGCCCAGTTTGGTTGAATGTTGTAAGCATATAACAATCTTAAAATGACAACATAATTAAAATTTTATATAAGTACATAGCACAGTTGTACAATTAGATAACCTTTTGTTGGAGATCGCTGCTGCCTTGACACTCATGTACATGAAACTTACAAAGTATGAAACTTAAGAAAAAAGTATAATTTTACAAATTCTGGCTAAAGGGTTTTGCCTTTGTTCCCATTATTGAATGGTGAAACACTCGTTGACCTAAATGGGAGCAGCATCAAATTGTTACATGTATATTTGGATTGGGCATTTCCTGAGGGTTGAAGGTGGAATGTTGCAAAGGATGCCATCAAAGAGGAATGTTTTACCAGTCAGACCAGTCACAGAAATGTCTCGTGCTCCAGTCTGATAATTAATTGAAGATGAATTTAAATTATGCCACTAAATATTCTCTGGTGGGGACAGTAAAGGGCATTTTGTTGCTCACAATTGTGCATCATGAAACATAAATGTTTTATCTTCAGCAGTTTACAAAAAAGTAATTGCTTGAAATAGTATTTTAGTTTTGTTCAAATATTGTTTAAAAAGTAACTTAAGAAACTGCCAGTATTAAATCTTCCTAATAACGAAAGCTTTCTTCCACTTAATTTGTGCTTTTGTTGTTGCTAACAAATAATTTGCTGTATAGGTTTTTCTGTACACCATTGATAGAGTCTATATGCTTGTCATCCCAGTGTGCTGAAAATGTTACACTCAAATCAAGAGCTCCTTTCTGGTTTTGTATGTCCTCACCTGCTCCTCACTGTAAATCATTGAGATGTCAAGTGCAATGATTAATTAAGCTGCACGTGCAAGTGCTTTTTTTCACCTGTCAAGTAGGAGAGAAAACTTACTATAGAGAATTGTGTGTTGCTGTTTAATTCACTTTTACTCCAAGTGGCAAAGTTTGCAGAAATGCTTTATGTCTAAATTTCATTTACATTTATATACTTATAATTTGGTGTTGGCCTAGGAATTTAGAATACCACAAGCCATAATTACAAGAATGTGAAGTTTACAGGAGGAATATATTAAGGGCTGAGGAATGTAAGGGTTTATGGGGCACTTTTGCATAGGTGTACAGGAGGGTCTCAGCAATATTGTAATTTATTGTATGCAAAATGTTAGCATTAGAATAATTTTAAATCAGGTAGAGAGTTGCTTACAGGTTACTGTTTCAAATAAACTGATTAATTCTGCATCACTAACCTATCAGCTTGTTTGTATGCATGTACGTGTAAAATAAGTAATTTCATTCATTTGCAATGCTTGAATTGTTTTTCCCACTCTCTTTTTTTCCAGGCAAGTGGTAACATTAAATTGTATACTGATCTTAATCTGTTATTAAAAGGTCCTAGAAAGGCAGATTACAAGGTAGATTCAGGTTTTGAATCAGTTTTGCCATTGGTTTAGCAGCGGGTGGGCAGGCAGATGCCTGCTCAGAGTAGAACCTATTGCCATTTTTCACCATTGATAGAGTAGCCTTTCAGAGTCAATGAGCTCTGTCAATGTGAGCTTGTCAAGGCTACAACTTCATAGACCTGAGAGGCGGTTTGAGAGGTCAGCCCTTTTCAGGTTTGCTGTGATGCAAATGAACTTTAATGCTTAAACAACTATTGGAATTTTTATGTCTGCTCCTTGTTCTTTTTTCTTCACAAAGTCATTGACGAGACATTCAGTGCTTTTTAAATTGGAAGTTGCATTGTGCTAAAGACCTAGTACAGATTTACGGAGGGCTGAAAGCAGTTAGATCATGTTCTTTTCATGGTGCGATTAGAATCAAATCGATTTCCCTACAGCCTTCAGCATTCAGATGGCAATTTTAACAAAGCTTGGGGGCTAGACAAGGGACAAAACGACTGAACTGAATGTTAATTACACTCTGCAGCCTTATTTTCTTTTGATTTGGAGCTGACTGGCAACTAAATTAACAAAAGTGTGACCATAACTGCTGCCCTATTTTCATTTAAAAGGAGAGCAGACTCTAAAAGGCTATCTTTTCAAAGAAACAAGTGAGGTCTGCTGATCATTGTTAAAGGGCACGGTTTTTAAAAAAGTAGTAATAACTCCCAAAACCTTAATTCCAAAAATTAATGCAATAAATTAGTCACTGACACAGCCTGTTTTTAGAGCTGTTTTAACTCCCACTTTTAATATATATTATGTAGTAAAAACACAAGTTGATAAAGATTATTTATAGATAACAATGATTTTTTTAATCATGTGACCATAGCTCAGGCTTAGTCATTTTGTTTAATATTGAAAGACTGCATGATAACTAGAGAGCCAATAATGAATTTTTATATGAACTTTTTTTTTCTTTTGAAATGCTAAACAAGTGATTTGAAAGCTGCTGTTAGTTTTGATTTGGTTCACAGAATTCCTGCGTGACAGATTTTCAGTTTGATTGTTAGTGTTTGTTTACAGTGTCTCTCTTTGGGAGTAATAACAGCAAGATGCTCCCCTAACAGCCCCTTTGCCTTGTAAGGAGGCTGCAGCTGCACTAAGTTGCATTTGATCCTTGTCATTGCTCCGTTCTTTGCACCTGCAGTTCTGTCCATCTCATCTTTAACACCTGGCATCATGAATTATCCTCCTTTATTCATACTGCTAGTAAATCCCATTTAGGGCTGAGTAGCATATATTGTGGCTGCCAAATGACCATAAATGTCAGAGAACATTTCTAAAATGTAAATATACCCAAAATACTGTGAAGTTTTACTGCAAAAGTCTGACCTACTTTCCATTAATACTTTTGCATACATGCAAATTTCAACTTTAAAAGATTTCAAGGTTTAGATTTTAAAATATTTTGGAATTCTTTGTGTAAAATGTCATGTGTGAAAGCTTAGATGATCAAAGGTTTAGAGCTTTGGGATCTTCACTGTTGGTTTTAAGTGTTCATAGGTTATCAGAACTTTCTGTATTTGCATTTCCAGGATTATCTGGTGTTCTGAGCTCGAGTTGCAAGGAAAATTTCTTTTATGTATTGTTCATAGAATATTAGGTATTTGTACTTGACCTCTTATATTGCAAAATACAGTTTAAAGCAGCTGTCACTTGTCCAAATGATGACCTTTTTAGAAGCAACATAGTCAAATTAATGGGATTGGGTAACTTTATTTTTATGCTTAACAGTTGTTTGAAAATTGCTGTGAAGTACACTTATAAGCGGTTAAGGCCAAATTGATCTTCATGTAATTAAAATGTATTTATGAGCAGTTCTGCTCAAAAGTTGGAACACTTTTTTTCCACAGTCCCATAGTCAGTTGCTTTTGTTTCTTAAAAAGGTCATCTCTGTTCTAGTTACTGTTTAATACTGAGAAGCTTTGATAGTGCTGCAGACCACCCTGTACTTAGTCACTGTCCTGTACCTCTCTCCTTTTCACACAAAAGCAGCTGCAAAACAAAGTTTTTCTAAAACCAGTCAAGAGTAAAATTCTTTCTCATTTGTCTTCCAGACACGAAGATCGATTGAGAAGTTATTAGAATGGGAAAACAATAGGTTATACCACAAGGTGAGTGCCGCAGGGAGCAGCTTCGTACTGTTGGAGTCTGAATTGCACAGTATGGAAACAGATGCTTTTGTTGAACGAAAAATATGAAAGGTGGACAAATGGGCTAGTCTGTGTGCTGCAATAAAATACAGCTCATTTTTCTTCTTTTTCTTTCCTCCTTGTCTAGCTGTGCTTGCATTGGAGACTGAGCAAAAGGAAATGTGAAACGAATAACATGATGGAATATGTAAGTTAAAGGGCTGTTTTGTGAGTTTCTCTATTAAATGATCATTTATTTTGCTTCTGATCTTATTCTTTTCATGATTATTAATCAGTAAAGGTGTCAAGAGCTTAATCGCCTGAGTGCAAGGATTTTCTACGGTTCACAGATGCATGGTTTCATGTGCAGGGCTGATTTATAAAGTTATGAATGACTTGAAAACAAGGCTTCACTGTGTTCTGAAAAATAATAAATTAATTGCCAAGATAAAATAGCTTGAACATGTGCTGATGGAGTGTGAAATTTTAGATGCTGTATAAAGAATAACTGCAACTTTGGTTACGCAGCAAGTCAGATATGGCTGTTTTATATAATGCTAATCAAGTCTAAAAGTATGGAAGAAGACCTTTCAACTAAGCTGTTGGAGCTTAAGAAACCTTTACCCTTTTTAGGTTTTAACTACCTCATATCTCAAGTGTCTTGAAAGTATCTTTATCTTTTAATAGCATCACTAAAATATTTTTAAAGTCATCTTTAATAGTCAGCTGTAACAGACTCCCCAGTTCATTTATTCTCTAAAAATTCTATGCCACTTAATAGCATAGAACTTTTCATGACTGTTTTAACCACTTTATGGGTAGCTGGAGGAAAATGCTTGGGGCGGATTAATTTGCTAAAACTATATATCATTGGAATAGCTAAGGTTTTTTTTTAATTGTGAAAAGTGAGAGCAGGAAAGGGTTAACTATTTAAAGTAAAGACTAACCTTGGAGAGATACCTAGTTTGCATTTCTAACTTATCTATGGTCTTTTATTATATGATATTTTGTCTATTCTTTGAAACAATACAGCCATCGTAAGCAGCCGCATATAAAAAGATTGATTAAAACAGTGATTAAATAGTTAGAAATTATCTTAAAATCATCTTATCTCTGTTAGCCTTTCCCCTTTCTTCCATTTCACATTAAGTCTTATTTCTAACCTGAAATATAAAAGATTTTTAAAATGCCTCTTTTCATAGAATAGTTCTATTCAGTGAACTGAATAAGTACATTTTTATATCATTATCTTTTATATAAAGCATGTTAATTTATGATAAGAGACATGACATACTTCGCTACAACTAGAAAAAAGCGAATTTTAATATCCTGTTTTGATCTTGACCTATATGAACATGCTTCTGTTTTTTCATCACTGAAGACTACCTTCTTTCTACAGCAAGTACTTGTCATAGTCCCCTCCCCCAAGTCTTTTGCCAGTTAAACTGGAAGCATAAGAGGCTATTTTTTGAAATTCACTTTAGAATATGGTTTATCATATCTGAAACCTAATGTTTTTAAGATGAACTTGTAAGAAAGTACTGTTATTCTTCATATAGTAAACATTGTGTTGATTTGTGTATAAAACCATTTGGTCTATATAAGTTGAGCATAAGTGTTCACAAGATCAGGGACTAAGGGTGAAGAAAAACAATTTCTAAAACTTCTGACAAGTTTTGTGCAGATGTATTTAGTGTGAATTAAATTTCTCAGGCCTGATTTTTCACACAATTGCTTTGCTTCACTCTTTAGTTAGCAGCTAGCTAGCTTGATATTGATCTCAAAGTAATTGTATTAAAAAATAACAGGGGAGAATGAACCTACTATTTCATTACTCTCCTGACTTCATGTTTTGGCATCTCAGTTGATCTTGATCACATAAGGGTTTTTATCCAAATGTATAATACTAAACAATTAGCAAGGTGCTTTCAATATACCCATATAAACGATGACTTGCACTTTTGTAGCTTGCCAGAGTTTGAAATGTAGGGATGAATCTCAAAATGTGGAACACATATCTATCACTTAATCATTGGAGATGCTGGGAGTTTGGCATTTTTGATACAAAGCCACCTTTATGTAATAATATAGATTCAGAAACCAAACTTTAAAGCACCTAATTTAAAAAAATCTTAACTTCATTGATCAAATTAGAGCTTTGTTGGTATTTCATGAACTAAAAAAAAGGAGGTATCCTCTAAACTGCCAATTGTACATTTCCCCCCATGCTCTCAAATCTCTCTGTTATGTATTTCAGGTAATAGGCTTTTTATATGAATGTTTAACAGTAAAAATGTGTATCTTTAAAATTATAAATGTCTTAAATATATTTCATATAAGAAATAAACTTCTTAGATGAAAGGCAAGTTCTGTTTAGCAGTGTGTGTTAAATTCATAGTTAAGTTATTCTGGAAATGTCAGTCCAAGACAAATGTTAGGAACCCCAGTTTACTATGTCTGTATATTTATAGACATGTCTTTGCAAAAGGAACATTTTCATGAAAGGCTGCTTCCTTAAGTTGCCCTTCCAAATACACAGATTTAAACTGTGTTTGCCTGTATTTTATTTGAGATCTCTCATCTCAAAGTGTCAACATGGCATACAAAATACTCCATGGGGTTTAGATAGAATCCTGCCCTGTATTTTCATGCTGAAACATGAACCAAGTTTCTTATTACTTACATGATCTTGTCTGAGATAAAGGTGGACAGTCTTGAAATGCATAAGGAGATAGGAGATTAGTAGAACAGTAATCAGACTTTTTATGGAAAATCATCAAAACTAAGCATAGCTTTATAATAATGAATACATTGCTAAATTAATTTGAACTGAGAGAATATTTATAATGAGGTTGTAAAGTTATTCTCATGTATTCATCTTCTCTCTTAACAAAATATAGATGTTAGTTTTTACGGAAAACTTATGAGCCAGATAACTGAGTTTGTCAAAGAATAATTAGCTGGTGGCATACTTTAATGTGTCTAGTGACCTGTGAGTCATGTTTCTCTCCCCCATTATTATAGTTTGGGTATTATAGTTTACTGCTCTTAGATAGGCACATGCTGTGTAGCATCACTTACTAATGACCCCCTACCCAAGGAGGGTGGCACGGGCCTTGATTGTTCCTTTCCCCATAGTTTTTGATAAAACTTAAACAAATTTTGACTGGATGCTGTATTACACTTCAGCTAGTTTATAGGATTAATTCCAAGTCTATTTAATTTTTTTTTTTCTTTTTACACAGGTCATCCTTATAGAATTTTTACCAAAGACACCAATTTTTCGACCAGATTAGCATTTATTTATAGAGACTTACTCAAGTATGTTGTCTTTTCCAATGGTGCCTTGCTTGGTGCTCTCCTGGTGGTGACATAGCATTGGTTCTACAGAATCTTGTGGTGTTTTTGTTCTTCATTTTGTTTTTTAATAACAGCATGTTCTAAGTGCATTTTGTCAAACTTTGCAAAAGTCATTTCATGCAAATGTTAAATACTACTTAAGTTATTAC